AACTTGTTTGCAGTGACATTCACTAAAAAAATAGGGATTGATGCCTCCTGAAGGATGCAGTTTACTCCCTGACAAAGTCCACATCAGATAACTTCTGTTGATCTTTCCTCCCCATCTAAGAGATACCATGAATTTTATAATCAGCTTGTATAATCAAGAAGATGAGATTAGACTGTTAAACTGTTGCTGTTGTCCAAAAAATGCCTTTGGCAGCTGGGGAATCTTGGAGAAGCATGAAAATCTGAGGAAGATTGTGACCAGGTTAGCATTACTTTTTAGGAATTGTATTAAACAAACTACAGTTTTAAATTTATTTTTATTTGTTTAAATAGCTGAATTTAGCTAACATTACATATATTGCCGTTTATTGTTTAGTGCTGATCAGATACAATACGTATGCAGTGCTATTAATATTAATATGAGCAATTTATGAGCATGTATAACAAATGATAGTCATCAGGTCAATGTGCCAAGCCGGCCCAATTCAGTTGTAATATGAGGAGGTAGAATTTCTTAAGAGACACATATATGAGGTACTACATGAAGTATATTAATTTACTTCAAACCATCTAATTTCTATGCACTATATCTGTGAATAGTGTATGCTTGATTTGCTGAATGGAGAAACAATTTTTTTGCATTTTTATGCAGATAAAACTGTAGTTTGTAAATGAGCAAGAGAAATATCTTGGCTCTTTAGATTGGGGAGGACTTTTATTGGAGGAAGTGAGAAAGAGGCAAGAAGATTTCCAGGTTTTGCTTGACAAGGCAAAGGTGATGTTCTCTATCCTTCTACACACCTCTCAATCCAAACTAAAAAGCCCAGAACAACAAAGCACTATTTAATAAACTAGATGCACAAAAATATGGTTTGGTTTTTTTCTCTTCTTCCCATAACACTAATATTACAAGAAAGGAGTGCAACCGGTGCCAGATGATTGTTATTAAATATGGAAGAAAAAGATCAAATCTTTAACAAATACCTGATTAATACCCAAGTAACATAATCATTCTGAAAGAGGGTGAAGATTGAGCTGACTAAACCAGTCAATTTGTATGAGTGACTGTGTAGTACTTAACTGCTCTTTTTTTTTTGTAATAAGTTTAATTGCATTTTTTTTGTAGTGAAAGCTGTTCTTTTACTTCATTGCTACGATGTTCAAGTTATGCTCTGTAAAATCTATGATTTTTTTCAATCATTAGCATTACTTGTTCTATGCAACTATGCTTGCCATAATAAAATAACTTCCTTAGCTCTTTGTAGATGAAGCTGATACAAAATCTCATCTACTTAGATCAGATTCTAAGACCACAAATGCCATGGACTTTTCAAATTTTTCATGACCACTTCGCAAAGCAGAAATTTTATGTAGAAAGCAGCAGAGTGATGAGTTTCACGATAAACACTCTCAAGAAAGAGATTAACAATATTACTAATTTACTTGCATAGGTAAGCCTTATTTCTTCTCAGGGCTATTGCCCTTGTTCTCAGAATTGTGTTATGTAATAGCTTATTGAGAATGTATTCCCTGATGTGGTGTTTATTACCTTTAGTGCCTAGGCTGAGGTTATAATTTTGTTGTACTTTGTATCATGGCTTATGAGGTGATTGAATCGCTGGTCATGAGCCTAATCCTGAGTCTACCTGCTTGGCACTGCATCACCTCTGAACCTCGGGAGCCATCTGGTGGGAACTATTAACGATCACACCTATATTATCACACATCTTCTCTAGGCTAATTACAGTGGCATTTGGGAATTTTGAAAAATTTGAAGACTCTTGGGATGTTGAAACCAGCATGGTCCTATTGCTAGGAACTGTGAGTGTGGTTCAGATCTTGTATAGAGGTGGGGTTTTGGTTTTATCTTTTGATTTAGTTTGGTTTTTATTTGCTTTTGTTTTTCCTTCTTCTTTTTTTTTTTTTTTTTCTTTTTACTTTATTTCAATTAATAAACTGTTTGTATCTCAGCCCATGGGTTTTACAAGTCTCTTTCTCAGCCTCCTGGGAAGCGGGGAGAGAGCAAGCAGCCACGTTGGAATTAGCTGCCATCTGGATTAAAATCACAACACAAGGTTAGACAGACTGCTGAAGCTGGATAGTTTCTCATAAAGAAATGCCTGGATAAGGATGTAAGGGCTCCTAGACAGGTAAATACTGAAAGTCTAGACTCCAGGTCAGGTCTCGCCAGGGGAGAGGGAGAGAATCTTCTCCTTTGCACTGCTGGCTTTGCTGCTTTTGATGGAACTCGGGATATGCTTGGCTGTTTGGGCTATGAGTGCACCTTGCTGGATCATCTCCACCAGCACTCCAAGTTCTTCCCTTCAGGGCTGCTCTCAATCCTCTAATGCCTGTGTTGATACAGGGAGTTGCCCCAACCCAGGTGCAGCACCTCACATTTGGTCTTGTTAAACCTCATAAGGTTCCCATGAGCTCACTTCCAGCTTTCCAGGCCCTGCTGGATGGCATTTCATCCCTTGCCCATGTCATGAGTGCCCATGTAGCACTCAGCTTGATGTCATTTGCAAATTTGCTGAGGGTGCACTGGTTGCCACTATGTCATTGATTGAGACAGTCCTTGTCTCAATATGGACCCTGAGAACACCATTTCTCACTGATCTCCATTCCACTCTTGACCAATACTTTCTGGATACAGCTGTCCAGCCAATTCCTTATCCACCAAACAGTCCACACATCAAATCCATCTCTCTACAATTTAAAAAGAAGGATTTTGTCAGGGACCATGTCAAAGGCCTTAGAGAATGACAAATAACAGCTACGGCCCTTCCCTTTTCCACTGATGCAGTCACTCCATCATAGAAGTCCACTGAGTTGGTCAGGCAGGACTTGCCCTTGGTGAAGCTGTGCTGGTTGTCCCCAATCAGCTCCCTGTTCTCCCCATGCCTTAGCAGAGCTCCTAGAAGGACCTGTTCCAGGATCTTCCAAGGCACAGAGGTTGAAGCTGGCAGGCCAGTAGTTTTTACAGATGAGTACAATGTTTCCCCTTTTCCAGTCACCTGGGACTTCACCTGACTGGCATGAATTTTCAAGTATCATGGAGAGTGACTTGGCAACTGCATCAGCCAATTCCATTAGGACTCTGGGATTCATCTTGTCAGGTTCCATGGACTTCTGGACATTCAGGTTCCTTAGGTAGTCACAAATCCAATCTTCTTTTACAGTGGGAGGGACTTTGCTCCCCCAGTTCCTGCCTTGAGAGGTGTGGGAAGAGAGATTTTTCAGTGCGGACTGAGGCAAAGCAATTGGACCTCAGCCTTCTCCTAGTTTGTTATTATCAGTTTCCCAGTTCTGTTTACCAGAGGAGTACAGTTTCTTTGACCTCTCGTTTTTGACTGAAATACCTGTAGAACCTCTTCTTATTGTTCTTTCACTTGCCAAGTTCAGCTCCAGCCAAGCCTTGGCCTTTCTGACCCATCCCTACACAACCAGGCAGCATTCCTATTGCTGTGTTCTAATAAAAATCTGGGACAATAGTAGAATAGTTTATCTTGGAACTTTTGGCCCACAAGTCCAAATATATCAGGTAAGCAGATAAAGAGGTCCAAGTATACTAGGTTGGGAAATAAAGAGACCTAGATGTACTAGGTAAATGATAAAAACTTAATGACTAGCTTATTCCATTTTGAAAGGCAATAAAACTAAACTGACAAAAGTTTCAATCAATTTGTACATTTTTCTTTTTATACATAGATCAGTTATCTGTGGCCATTTTCAGCATTTATAAAGTTGCACAAAATACTGTAATACTGACATCATCATCATCATCATCTAATACTCATGAACTGGAGTTGAAAAACAGAGGAAAATACATAATACCTTGTCAAGTTCTATCTATTTCACCTTGCATGTTTTTTACCACTCATCTATTTGAAGACAAAATTAAAACAATACAAACCAAAAGTCTGAAAAAATAAAAAGTTTCTTCAGAATGACACAATCTAATAAAGATGTCCCTTCCCTGTAATTTAAAGCACATTTGGCAAGCACAACTTGAAAGTAAGTCTCCATCCCACTGGCTGCCTAGCAAACACATGAGAGGTAAGGGAGGTGTCCATCATTGAATCCTCTGGAAGTACCAGACTGAAAGAAAGAAACATCATCTCTGCTCTTGTGATAGATGGGTGACAGAGACTCTTCTCCTAGCCTACATATATTTTGAATGTTTTCTCATGCAGTATCGTAATGGAACCATAATTTCTCAAATAACAGGAAAGAAAAGGCTTTCTATTGCTCAAAGTGAGAGCAATAAGATGCTTGCTTTGGAAGTTATGAGAGAGTTTTAACAGTGCTCTGTTTTGTTCAGCTTGTCTTGTAATCAACCTTCAGTCTCCTACCAGAAGCAGGTGTCCTGGCCACCAAGGCTCTGAGCTCTTCTAGAATAATTTGTCTTTTCCACTGCAGCAACTGTATCAGCTATTCCTCCCTGACAGGAAGGGCAAAACGGAGGAACATTGTTTTAGTTCAATGACTGTAGTCATTGCCTCGGTCTTTCCTTATGGGTGCAGTTTTTAGGAGAAGCTCTGTGCTAACTCTGGGAAATGATCCCCATTGAAATCAGCATGTGAATCACTAGCATGGCATCTTTCATGGAAAAAAGTGGAATACAGATCATGTTATATGCTTAAGTGGAATTTTGAGTGCTTTTTTGTATGGCATAAAAAAGATACAGCAATATTCTCATGTATGTGTGCTGCACTGATCTTACTGTTCCTTCTGGGTAGAAGTCTGTATTTACATTTTATATCTTTGATATAAATATGAGGGCTTAAAAGCTCTCTGGCTAAAGATCTCAGAGATGATTACTGCAGACTGACGGTATAGTTCTAAAATAGAAAGCAGCATGTGACTGTTCACTCTGGCTTCCCAGGCTTCCGCTAGCAGCAAACAGCAGCTGCAGATAAAAATAGTAGGTTGTAAGCAACCAGGATCTAGTTAAATATAGAAGTCACTCTCTATGACAGTAAGGAGTCCAGGACAACAATGAAGTCTCTCCGATTCATTAGCGCCGAAGCGTTTGTGTCAAATGCAGAGTTTGCCAGGAAGAATCTCGGTGCCGTTGCCCATGATCTTTTTCCGCTTCTTTTTAAAGCCAGCTATTTACTGGAGCAAGGGGAAGTGATTCACGACTTGGTAGAGAACTGGCCACTTTTTGATTTTAACATGGGAAAACTTTTGGGAGCTACTATGGACTACCAGGAAGACCTGAGCCATAGAACATGCTCAGTGTGCTTGGAAAGCTGTTTGACAGGGCTGAGAGACTATGTGCTGAATCAGTCTTCTCCCTACATGAAAAAGTTGAAAGTGGTCGACCTGACGGGTATAAAAGATGTTGAAGTTCAGTTTTGTAAGTGCAAGAAGACAATGGGCAGGTGGGCCAGGACACAGCTGCTCTCTAAGCTTTGTTCAGAACTGCTGGTTTACCTGCAGCAAGCACAGTGCAATCCAGGTACCTTTGAAATCAGTATCAATGTGCTAATTGACTTGTTTGTTACAGAGAGGAACTATGAGCTGGTCGTGCAGGCCCTGTTGAAGAAATGCAGTTGTCCACTGAAAATCTGCTGTGTGGCATTCAGATCTGACAACCTGACCTTGCAGAAATTCTTCTATATCATAAAGCTCACTGATCCCTCCTTGTTGCGCAAACTGGAAATTGTTCATAATGTTCACTTGGAAATGGAACACTTGGAAATGCTCTTCAACAGTATCCACTTCCCTCTATTGATGTCCTTGACCTTGCCAGCACGAACATTTAATGTGAGGAGGTTCACAGCTACAGATGAACAGATGCTTGCTAACGTTGGAGAAAAGATGGGTGAAATGACGCAGCTCACTGAGCTGAGTATGTCATTTTCTATACTCACTGGAAGAATACAGAAACTTCTCAGGTAATGTGGTCATCCTGCTTTCAGTCTAACTGTAAGAAAGAGCACTTTGTGCCACCAGCAAGCTGGGATTCTCTGAGAGTAAGGGAAGTGAGTGTATCTTGGGGTGTGTGTGGGAAGGGGCAGCAGGAAGCTGGGAAAGATTATTTGTTGGGGAGAATTGGCAGCCCATGTATACCTAATACACTTTGAAAAACTGACAGTTTTGATTAGTCTTCCGGAGTCCATCTGGTGAGAATATACTTTTAGCTACTACATAAGAGACTAGTATAACCGGACATTTTTTTATTTGAACTTATGTATTAATCAGCTTGCATTGGCCTTTGGTGCAAGTCCCAAATTGTATTCCAAGTATTTTTTAGAATATGTAGTGAATTTTTGTCCTCTAAAGAACAGTCAGTAAATATACTTTTCCATAGATACTGTATTTTAAGGAGGGCAGGGGAATAGTAGATTTTCATTTGAGACTTCGATTTCAGTTATTTGTTGTGTCTCTTGATGTCAAGGCAAGAGAGATCTGATGTTTTTCTGTGCTGCAAATTAAGCTGATATGTGAATATTCATTATGAATTCCTGTGGAAAATTGGCAATTTGCAAAAAGCTAGCAAACTACTAGTGAGCAATATTCATATTGGAACAGGAAATAAGTTAATTGTAAGTTTTTCAGAGCATCTTAAAAAAGAAAAAAAGGCAGATAAAAGTTTCATCCAGACAAGTCACCTTGGTCTAAAATTCTTCCCATGCAAGAAGTAATTTTATTTAAAATTTGTGAGTAACATACTACATATATTGGTTGATGCAATTGAAATGAATTGCAAGTTTCGAAGCTTGATCCAGCTGGGCCCTGTGGCAGAAGTCTCACTAAGATGTAGTAAGGATGAAAGAGATCTCTTGATTTTCATTTGTCAGAACTATTTATATTTAACATGAATATCTGAGTATAATCTCAGTTACACTTCTTCCAACCTTCTTCATCAGGAGGTCTCTTTGCAACTCCAGAGTACTACAATGTGTAAACCTCTTGGGAATTTAAAAATGTAGCAGAAGAAAACCAGCTAGAAAAAAAGCAGATATCCTGTCAGAACACTGATCTGCTTTCATATTGGAATTAATCCTTCCTTAATGAAAATGATCTAAATCTCTGGAATAATAGCAGCTTTCTACAAGAAGCAGCTACCAATGCTCTTATGGTAGTAGTGATCTGCTGTTAATTTAGTAAGTCACAGGCATTTGACAACATATAATTGCTTAAAAAATAGATGTATAGAATGTTAATAAATTAATCCCCATTAAAATAGCACAGTGGAGTCATGTAAAGAAGGAGATAATTAATGGAACTGATTTCAGGAGGAAGATATACTTGCTATTGTTGTTCAAGAGAGGTTTAAAAAAATGATGTGGTAGATGGCTGCATTCATAATGTGGCTAGATGCATGAAATTTTGTAAATGTAGCTTTTTAACATTTTGTACCATAAAAATTTTTTTTCTCTTTAATTCTGCAGCCCACTAAAAACTCCACTGAAGATGCTGGATGTTTCTAACTGCTCCTTGAACCATGCTGATATGGCCTTTTTAGCCAATAGCTTCCATGCCAATCACTTGGAAGCCCTGGACTTGAGTGGTCACGATATACCTGAGCTTTACCCATCAACATTCTTTAGGCTCCTCAGCCATTGCTCTTCAGTGCTCAGGAGCCTTACCCTGGAGGACTGTAATATCCAGGACACTCATGTCAACATGTTGATTTTAGGTTTAAGTCCTTGTCAGAAGCTACAGGAGTTTAAGTTTATTGGAAACCCACTGTCATCCCAAGCACTTAAACACCTTTTCACTTTTTTCTGTGAGCTGCCAATGCTGAAAAATGTGGAGTTCCCAGTTCCAAGGGATTGCTACCCTGTTGGCATCACATATCCCATTGATGATTCCAGTCTTTGCAGATTTGATCACCAAAAATATGAAAGGGTAGCAGAGGAGCTTAACCTCATTTTACTCCAAGCAAATAGAGAGGATGTGAAGGCTTCAACGCCTCTCTTTGGGAGTTATGATGCAGCTGTTCAGGAGACAAACAATGAACTGGGAGCTTATTTGATCAAGTCCTTCAAGGAGACTTTAGAGAAGTTCACTACTTCATTTAACAAAACGAGTTAAAATTGTAAAATTGTAAAGTAGTGATGAGATGATCTGCCAAATCAGAACTTAATTTAGTCTTTTGTAGACCTGCACCTTCAATCATCAGTTGTGAATTTTCTTCAGTTTTTTGGCTGAATTTACTATTGTTTGAATAGCCTCTAATTACCTGAGGTATTGTAACTTATGCTATGACTATTGCATACACCTTACACAAGCACTACTTGATCACAAAAGAGGAGAGGACACTTAAGAGCACATTATTTTATACAAATGCACTTTTTCTCAGTAAATCAAATAGGTGTTTAAGCTTGGCTGATTCCTTATACAGGTTCCCTTAGATTTGTCAGCTGGTCTGGTAGCCCTGCAGAAAAAGCAGGGAAGTCCTTTCCCAAGTCCAGCTGGATGTTCAAAAGACTGTGCACATATCCTCATGTGTGGCTCCCTAAACTGATTTTTTTTTCCTGCTCATGACCTGAATTCACCAATCTGTGTTTTATGGTATATTCCCAGTAATGGAGGATATGTATATTCCCAATAATGCAAGATGTGTAATAGCCTCTATATCCCTGCGCCTCTTTCTTCTGCAGAGGCAAGCCCAATAAACAGAATTTGTCTTATACATTGCCCTTGGTGAGAAGTAAAATTCCATACTGAGAAGACAGCAAACTAAATGGTTAGCTGACAGCAGGGGATCTCATCCCCCTACCCAGCAATATTAAGCAGTCTGTGGGGACTCTGCTGATGTTCTTGCAACGTGTATTTTAGAAAGGCAGACCAGGACAGTGCTGCACAGCCATGCCTCTCATGTCAGCTGGTCATTGCCTCAAGATCCTCCCTCCTTGGAATCAGCTTCTAGGCTGAAAAAAAATAATCCAATGCCAATTTAAAAAATGTGGAAAAGGGACAAGGCTGGTTGCTGAGTAACTAGAAGTTCATATATTTAAAACACTGCTAGCCTTCCATTGGGACTCTGTGTTCTCTACAGACTTGGAAATGGTATCAGGAAAAATCATATTTATTTGTCAAGCTTTAGTGCAAGGAAAGTATTAGAGAGACCCCAGGCTCCACACACGCAGCATGGGGGCATAGGTAAAGGGGCCAACTGGATGCCAGGACAGTAAGGCCACAAGACATATGTGTGGGCAGAGTACTATAAATGGGCCCTGAGTGGTAAACAAGGGCTACTCAGCCTCTCACCTATAAAACTAGAGACTTGATTAGCTTCTAGGTAATTAAAAAAACCCGACCCCAAAAAAAAAAAAAAAAAAAAAAAAGAAAAAAAAAAGAAAAAGAAAAAGCCCAGGTTAATACACAATATTCTGCCATTAAATATACTTTAACAGTTTGTGAAAACTTGATAAAGCAGGACTGAAAGTCAATGTTTGTAGCAGAAGCTGAAGGTGTTTTTGTAATATTGAGGTTCATCATTAAAATAACCAGGACAGTTTATTTGAAATAATACTGGGCCTCTTCATCTGAGGGTGAGGAAAAAACTTCCTTCATTTAGGCAGTGCTGATTTGTCAAGCTTTCTGTTTATCTACAGTAGAAATATGCAAGCAACTCTTAACCTAAGTTATTTAAAAAAAACTAAAATTGAACAAAAATTAGTGGACCGAGTACTAAGCAGAGCTTACAGGTTCCACAGAATGCATTTAAATGTTTTTTTAAATGTCAGCTTACATTCTAACATGTTTTATTGATTAAATATATGATGCTAAAATTGAAAGTGAATGGTCATGACCTGTTTATGTTTACAGAGCATTTAAAAAATAAAAAGGTAATCTAAATTGCTAAGCTAAGGTGTTGGGTTGGGAGAATTGGGTTCCATATGACCTTGCTTATATTTGGACAGAATCCCACATGCTCCTTTTTCCTTGCTTCTACTCTATCTTTTCTTCCCTCTGACTTTGCCATTCTTTCAATCCCAGACTTGGCCCATGACTTTTTAGTCAGATGTAAGTTACTTGAATTTTGCTATGGCAAATGTCTACCTCTTTGGGATGAGTAGTGGCACTTTTGCTGGGAGAGGACACTGTACTACAGCTGTAAAAGTGTAGTGATTCTTCCCCTCTCCAATCTAGCAGGTTGTACCTGGAGGTGAAGGCTGGCCATTTTGAAACCTGCTGTGCCACAGCAGTCAATCCTTGCCCTTTTCAGTACACACAAAAGAAACAGCTCTTATTTCAGAATAATTAGATGTCTTATAAAGTCTGGTGTCTATGTAGCTGTCCTTCTGGTTTCTTCTTGTCATCGTTCACCCCTTTACTTTATTTCCTCCTTTTACTGAACCCCACAAACTCCTGTCTTTCTTCCATTTTCAGTCTCATTTCTATATACTGGCTCCTGGGCCAGCAGAATGATGTAGGTTTTGTTTTAGTGCAAAGTGAGGGGGTCACCACTATGACTGTTTTAGAGCTTTAGCTCTCAGATATTGCACCTTCTTCATTTTAGTTTCTTTCTTAGTTATGGTTGTTGGTTTTAAACACAGGTCAAGCTTTAGCATTTTGGTGTTTGCCTGACGTACTGCAACAAGGATTTCTGCCCTCTCTCAGAAGGGTTCCTGCAGAACCTCAGAAGGGTCTTCTGCCCCAACAGTGTGATTATGGTTTGGACCTGCTGTTTCTTCCTTTTTCCATGTGTGTGGGACTTGGATTGCAGCTATTAGAGAAGAAGGATTAATGCTACAATGACCTAGCCATATAAAGTTACTTTATACTTTGCAAGTACAGACAGATACTGATTGAGTCCTGTTTGGTGTTCCCTTGTCTTCAATACGGGACTATTGTCACCTTCACTGGGCTCAGACCTGAGTAGATCCAAGTCCATGTCTATCCAGAAAGCTGTCTAAAACCTTGACTGCATGCCACCTTGAGGTGGAGACAGTCTTCTAAGCTCCAGTTAAGGCTGCCCAGACAGAGACAGGACAGGAGTTACCACAGCACTGAAACCACACAGCTGTCAATGGAGTGAAGATGTCTGATGTGTTGTGAATGGAGCTGTATTCAATTCCCTCCTACCACATCTGCTCATGATGTTCCTTTAAGTGTCTGAAGAAGAATACTCAAAGTCCCTTGAGGTTTATTTGTGAAAGACACAAAAGAGATGCATGTATAAAAAATCCCCGAAAAACAAAACCATTCTCACCATATTCAAGCAAATGTTCTTAACACAAAATGCAATAATGAATATGACAGAGAAGCTAAGGGATGAATTTCTAGTTCCAATATAAAGAGACTGTTAAGTTTGTATTTTATTCACCATACTTTATTCAGTACCATGTTTTATTCACCATATTGTGGTTTTTTATTCATTAGCATATTTTAATTTCATTTACTGGGACATATTTGACATACTGATCAGCAGCAGTCGTTTGCAAATCTTTCTCTCTTGCAGGGTAAGAATTGCCAGAAGGGCTTTCTGCTGTTGACATTGCTAAACTCCCCTATTCAGTAACTGTACTGAGTTCAGTGAAATACCTAGTACATAGGAAATAAATGTTCTCCTTTGATAAACTTCATGAAACTGAAGAACAGGTAAGAAGTCTTTATGAACTACCTTTGCTAATTTGATCTCTTCATAATTTAAGTCTCATATTATGTTTTGGCCACATACAGAGCAGTTGAAAAAAGCAACAGGAAAAAAGAAAATAGATGATAGCACAGCAGCTATGTACTTGGAGACAGCTATCTCAGCAACATAAAAGCCTATCAGTAGAAAAAGGCAAGTAAACACTACTGTTGCAAGAAAGTTGTCATACGTGAAAAGGAAAAGAGCTTCGCAATATAATCCTACACCTTTTAAATTAATATTCTTAAAAGTTATGGACTACAGGTCCATTCTTCTGAACGAGCATGAACTTTGCTTACAAAGCTCTTCTTTCTCTCCTTAAGATAGGCATCAGTCAACAACAGAGCAGGACTGCATGAAATACCTTGCAAAGAAACAAGGGAAGGAACATGATGCTTCTCTCCATACTGCCTTCAAATAAAAGTATCCTGTATGAAAATTACTGTGCGTAGGATAATAATTTATATGGAAATTTAACACCTATTTCAACAATTGTGTGGCCAGAGATTCAAACCTGCCTCTGGCTAATCCAAAAAAGAAGCAACAAGAGCTATTAAAAAAATAGTCTTATACCTAAACAAAGAAGCTTTACTTTTGAAGAAAACACATTGACTATAACTAACGATTACATTATTTTTTAAAAGTCCTTCAATAGCACTAAGGTACTAAGGTTAAAGATAGTTTGCTGTCTAAGGTACAGCTATATTGATATTGCTTAATTTTGCCCAATAAATTTTCACAAAATAATCCAAAAGATAGTTTTAATCTCAAGTGGAATGTGCAGACTTTATGCAACATAGGATCACAGGATTTTAAGGGGAACACTACTTGTCTATGCAGAAAAAAGATAAATTATTTCTCTCTGTGGAAGATGAGCAAATCTCCACATTGTTCTCAACTTTAAAGTATTTTAAATCCCAGAACTGAGAATATTCAAACATCTAAAGGCACATATCTGTTCTGAGAATTCATATTGAAGATAGTGGTATTTTTTTTTTCTTCCTTCTCAGTCTGTCAGAAGTACTTTTTTACTTCTATTGCCTCTGCTGTGAACTGTGGGAAATCATGCACGGAGCTGCTTCCTTTTCCGTGTTCTTCTTCACTGGGCTGAAGGTTTCTCTTAGCCTGAGATCCACCATACAACATTGGTTTTACTTGTTAGAGTTTTATTTGTTTGCTGTAGAAGTTTTTACAGGCTGAAAGACAACCTTGGCTATGCTTCTCATTATTTTACTTTTTATTTTGAGCACCAGCTAACCTGCTCCTAATGAAGCAGAACTATAAGCTTCATTAATGCTTAATAAAAGTAATATTTCTTTTGTTTTGTTTGCTTCTTTTTATTTTCTTCAGAGGTTTTATATTTTGGCAAGCTTGGAATAGAAGCGAGCTCTGCTATTCCCTTGGCTCCATTTCCCCAGAGGTTCTTCCTTGTGCAAAAGAGCCCGTGCTTGGAAGGGCTCCCAGCTTGCTGTACTGTTCACTGCTGCTGCTTCCCAGCTCTCCCTGTGCCCAATACAAATGCAGGGCAAGCACTAGACTGCTTTTCATGCATCACTGGCCAAGATACACAGTGGCAGAGTACATTTTGGAAGGCAAAAAGTGTGCTTGTCACTGACACATGACCTACTTTGAAAAACACCACACACTTCTTTTTTTGTGTGTGGTGGTATTGATCCTCACTCATACATTTAAGTTCTCATTCTCTTTCATAAACCAACATAGATTCCTGTTTCCACTCGGAATACTTTGTGTCTTTCAAAGTGCTTTTGGAGCTGTTTTCTGCAGAATTTTGATATTTTGGTATGGTTTATATGGGGGCAGTCATTCACCAGTGCAACACGTACGCTGAAGCATGTCGATGTGGCCTCATCACAGCATAACTGCTGCATGAAGTTCTTTAAATATTTAAACTCAGTGCATTCCACTAAGTTTTTAAAGGAATATGCAATGAGACTTGGCCACTTCCTCTATTATGATGTTGTGCTTTAGGGTAATTCAAGATTAGGTTCATAATGCCTGA